AGGAGGGAGGCCTTGGCCACCCAGTCCCAGAGCACAAACTCATGTCTTGGAATTCTATCCCAACTCACACTTCCTTGATTCCCCTCTGTGGGGGAGGAGGCATTGGCACCTGGCCTGGGCAGAGGGTCGTGTGGATGTGTTGGGCCCTCTGTACATCCCAGGGGCCGCCCAGTTACTGAGGCCTTTCCCTTTTTTGAGAACTGGGAGCTTGCTGGCTGGGTCTGTTCCCACCAACAGTGTTCCCGTCCAGGGAGCTTAAAATAGTGCCTCTTGGCTGGGGCTCTGGGTGAGCAGTGAGGCAGGCATTTGTGCAAATATGGGCCTGGGAGAAGGACTCCTACGGGGCAGGGTGGAGGGTGGGGTGGGCAGCATGGCAGGAGAGCCAAGACCTCCTGTGGAGGATGCGCCCTCCTGGCCACAGCCCCCCTCCATCTTGCAGCAGAGGCGCCTGCTAGTCTCCTCCTGCCTCGCCCAGCCCTACTGGGTCCACTTGGACTGGTCTTTAGGCTGAATCCTGCAGGTCTTCCTGGTCCAGCGAGGTTTCAGGGTGAGCCCACTGGAAACTGGGGCCTCTGCATTCTTCTGTTTGACCCCATCTAACAATGCCCTTCTTATCTTGGAGCACTCCAGAAATATCCTTGAAGGTTCAGCTCAGAACTTGTTTGAACAATAGCAGTGACAGTCGCAGCTACCATTCATGGAGCGCTGACTATTGTCAGGCTCTCTGCTAAGTGCTTTGACATGCATGATTTCATCTGATTCTCACAACCATCCATTGAGAGCCAAGTTGTTATTATTATCTCCACTGTGCAGAAAAAACTAAGGCTCAGAGATGTCAAGTAATTTTCCCAAGGTCACACAGTTGTGAACAGGTAGAGGCAGGATGAAAACTCAGGCCTGTCAGCCTCTGGAGTCTGAACTCTTAGCTCTTGGGCTGCACCTCCTTCTCCGGGTCCCTGCTTCTCTGGCCTCCCATTCTCCATCCCAGCATGATCACCCTGTATGAGAGACCGCCAGTTTGATTCAATGCATGAACTAGTGAATGCCTACTACATGTCAGGAACATTGCTGGGTGTCATGCCCACGCCCTGGAGTTCTCAGGTTCCCTTGAGGATTCCTATTTGACCTCCCCAGCATACAGGGTCCAGTTTGTTTGAGAATATCAGGGTAAGGCTGAGGGAAGCACTCCCACCTCGATGACCAAGTGACCAGCTGACATTCCCCCTCCTGTCATGGTTGTTATGCTCCTCTCCTCCCACTGTTGGGAACAGCATGTACATGAATCAGAAAAACTTGCTCTCAATCCTCTGACTTTGGCTGCCTGAACCTCAGTTTCCCCCTCTATATTTGGGATAAAATTAGGGCCTCACTACAGGGTGGCTGGGAGGACTTAAAGAAACTATGCACATGAAGGACTTAGCACAATGTCTGCCCGTCAGTAAGTAGATATTAAGCAACAGCTATTATTATTACTAATTGTTATTTTCTGGAAGTTACAGTGTCCAGGTGTCAAATGCCTGGGACCTAGCACATAGTAGGTGCTCCAGGTGAAGGGAATCACTCACACAGCAGATAGAGCCCCCCAATCCTATCCCGTACCCTACTATTCCCCACTCCTGACCAGCTGTGCCATTTCTGCTTCTGATAAGGAAGGTCTCCTCATTAACAATAGGGTCCCTTGGGCAGCTGGGGTGGGCACAGGGCCGGGACCCACTCTCTCAGACCCCTTATTTTCAGCCCCAGGCTCTATTCCAGAGAAAAGAGGTGGCTGGTGTGGAAGTTCCATCAGGGTTTGCCAGGCTTTTCAGGGATGTCTGGTGGCGCCACCTGGTGGCGAGCATAGCACTGCTCCTGCAGCCAGGTCTCTGGCGGCTTTAAGTGCCACCATCCTCTGCCCTTCGCTCTGTAGCCCATCCTCCCCTTCCTGCATTCACATGTACCGACTACCTCCCATGTGTAAAGACTTAAGGACCCCAACTTTGCTGTGGGGCAGAAGCCCCTGAAGTCCAAGTCACTTTGCCTCCTTGTTAGGCCTGGCTCTGGCTTGTGGGGTTGGTTCCCACTGTGGTCTGTCAGGATTCACACTCAGGACTCCCCCGAAGGCAGATGACCCTCCAGTGGTTTCTAGAAACCAAGGCTGGAAGAAGGGGCCTCCCTCCTGGCCTGAGCTGATCAGGTATGGGAAACCCAGTGATGGTCACTGGGCCTATACCTGACTCCCCTCAGCATCCACCTAGGTACCCCGCAGATCCCTTTCTCCATTGGGAGGAGTCTGAGGTCCCCAGAAGGATGGGCCTGGCTTCCAGGTCCCCTCCAGACCAGCACAGAGGCCCAGCTGGGCCCAGAGCAGTATGTATAAAGTTTGGGGAGGAGTAGTAAGAATTAGGAGGCTGAGTTGTGCTCTAACCAGCCTTACTCAGCTCTGGCACTAACATGCTGTGTGAGCTTGGGTAAGACCTTGCCCACCCTAGGCCTTGGTCTCCTTGTGGTAAAATGGGGGTGGGTTGGGAGAGTAAGCAAGATGATGGGTGACAACCCCTGTGGCTCCCAGACTTGCTATTGTCAAAGTGCAGATTCCAGGGCCTGCTACATCGGAACTCCGGGGCCAGGACTGTGGGATCTGTATCAATGAGCGCTGAGGTTGGCAGCTGTCTGGGAGACAGAAACAATGACTGTGTGGTGGTTTCAGGGGTCCTGAGAAGCAGAGAAACTCCCTGCAACCTGGTCCCTTGTTAATTTCCCGCCTTTCTGTGGAGGTGGGGAGGGGTCAGCCATCTGCTTGTCTGTCGGACCCCACTGCCAGCAGCAGTAGAGGGGTGGGTTGTCCCCATCCTCCGCCCTGTCACTCTGGCTGTTTCAAAGGACAGTGGCATGGGGCTGGGACAGCCTGGGGTGGGAGTGGGGGCCCTTGTTGCCTGAGGAGGTATTTTCAGAGTCCCCCTCCCTGTGGAGTTTCCAGTGATAGAATAGAGCCCTGTCTAGTATTTGACCAAATAAGGTGGTATCTCTCGATGAGCTCAAGCCTCAGCCAGCTTCTCAGTTATGCTGTGGAAACCTGCCCTGGACAGATTAATCTTGTGACATTCAGGAGCGCCTCGCACCCTGCGTTCTTCCCCTTGGCTCATTCCTGTAAATGGCCAAGAGTGGCCACTCAACAAGACGCCGTGGTTCTGGATGTCTGCTCACAGTGTCCCTGTCCTGCCCTCTTCACACTCCCTCCCACCCCTCCTCCACCTCCCTGGGAGGACTACTCACTCACAATTGGCTGGGCTGTTCACTTGAGTGAGAGACCTCAACCAGCCAGGCTGGTCAGTTCAGCATGTGATTCCAGGACACACAGACCCTGGGGTCACCTGAGCTCACAAAACTGTCGCCAGAGCCTGTGAAACTCAGAGCGCTCTCAGCCAGGAGGGTGGGCCCAAGGGGGTAGAAAGGAGGCTTGGCTGAGCAATGCTAACTGTGCTAGCTCTAAGGCTAATTAGAACAGCTGATGTTTATAAAAACAATTATAAAATTATTTTATAATACTTTTCCTAATAAATAGTTAAGTGTTTATTGAGCAGTTACTACGTGCCAGGCTCTGTGCCAGCTGTTTAACATAGGGTATTTCTTTTACTCCTTATAACAGCCCCCAAAGGTGGATGCTGTGATGATCCCCATTCGAGAGATGGGGGAACTGAGCCTCAGGAAGATTTCAGGGAGAAACAGGCCAGGCCACAGTCCATTCCTGGGCATGATACCCATTTAACAGAAGGAAACTGAGGCCGAGAGTGAATCAAGTCACAGACAGTCACATGGGGCCACGCCCCTGGAGTGGAGACCTTTTCTATGCAAGGGGGCACACTACAGCAGGAAGGCCAGAACGACTGGCCATGAAGTCCTCATGGATCTGAGACTTGGCTCGAGTGAGAACACAGATTCAGAAACACATTCCCAGCAGGCCAGGATTGCACAGAAAATATCCCAAGAAAAACAGGCTGGGCTGGTGGATAGAGCCCTGCACAGCACCAGGTATGAACCCTAGCTCTGTCTCACTGTAACTCACTGTAATCCTGCAGAAGTCCCTTCCTGATCCAGCCTCAGTTTCCCTGCCTATGAACTAAGGAGGTGGAACTCTGGTCACCAAGGGCCATTGAGCTCACCTGAGACTGGTTGAGTCTGTTTCACTGGGAGATGGGGTCTGTGTCCTGCTCCTGGCCAGCACACTCCGAGAACATTTGCTCTCCTGACCAACGGACAGCCCGTCCCTCCTCTGCCCTCACCCCCTTGCCATCCCCAAAGCAAACGAAGCTGATTGTCTTAGCAGGCCCTGTGGGTGCTGGCCGGCTGGCCGGCCGCAGGCCACAGACGGAGGTGCCACCCGCCAGAGCCCCGCCAGACACACAGGGCATTGTCCCTCAGTCAACAGCCCCTGGGCACCTCGGCTCGTTCCTGGCCTGCCCCCACGCCCCTCACCGCCTACCACTGCG